TCTTATTTCCTTCTCTTTTTTCAGCTGTAATGTGTGCAACAATAACAATCAAATTTCCACACTGTGGGACAAATAAATACTTATTTTATCTTATTTAATCTTGACTACATGAAAAAGTTCTGATCTCACAAAATCACTCATCCACATTCACACGTCAGCACAGCGGGGTCATGGCCCTTGCTTCCCCGTTGGCGTTCATCCAGGGGGCCATACAACAAAAACTGGTGTACCCCGCCTCCCTGCAGGGCAACCGCCGGTGCAGGGTCGCGTCAGTTCATGCGTTCACCATCGCTCTCCATGCTTCCCCCGAGCTCCCTGCATTGTCATTTCTGTGTTTGAACTGTTTTGATTCTCTGATCTGTGTTGGCAAATCGACAACTTTGTAAAGTCTGCCGAGACAACTGGAGTAGTGATTTAGAGCTGTACAAAAACACCTTTAATTGAAAATAATCATAACTTAAAGGGGCTCTGTGTAATTTTGCATTTGCTCCAAATGAAAAAAACATGATAACCAATAACAAGTGTGACCTTTTTAAGATTATTTACCTCCACCATCCATCCATCCATCCATTTTCTTCCGCTTCATCCGTTGCCGGGTCGCGGGGGCAGCAGTCTAAGCAGAGACGCCCAGACTTCCCTATCCACACACACTTCCTCCAGCTCGTCCGGGGGGACCCCAAGGCGTTCCCAGGCCAGCTGAGAGACATAGTCCCTCCAGCGTGTCCTGGGTCTTCCCATGGGCCTCCTCTCGGTGGGATGTGCCCGGAACTCCTCCCCAGGGAGGCGTCCGGGGGGGCATCCGGAACAGATGCCCGAGCCACCTCAACTGGTTCCTCTCGACGTGGAGTAGCAGCAGCTCTACTCCGAGCTCCTCCTGTGTGACTGAGCTCCTCACCCTATCTCTAAGGGAGCGCCCAGCCACTCTGCGGAGGAAGCTCATTTCGACCGCTTGTATCCGCGATCTCGTTCTTTCGGTCATTACCCAAAGCTGCACCAATCCGCCTGTCAATCTCGCGCTCCATCCTTCCCCCACTCGTGAACAAGACCCCGAGATACTTGATCTCCTCCACTTGAGGAAGGACCTCTCCACCCACCATATTTTTGAATTGTTTTCATAGGCTTAGAAATTGAACTATAGGACTCTCTGTGTCAATGTGCCATCTTGAAATACAGCGGTTGATAAGGGACAAAAAGGAGTTTGACCGGGAGAGTTGAAGACCACTGTCAAAGACGACAGATTGTCCTGCGAAGCTACAGTAGTACAGATCTCAATGCTAGATGGGAAAATAACTATACATTGTACCTTTAATTTCCATCATTTGGTGAGCTATTGTAGAGGGGTCTCCAACACTGACCAATGAGGGATGTCCGTTCAGTTTGAGTTCAACAAAACTAAAGAAAAACCATTTTAAAGTCACTTTTAAATGTCCTTTTCCACTTTCAAACTTTGCTGAGTGCGACGTGGGTGTAAATGGCTGCTCTCCAATCCCAACACAAAACACACATACTATAAACAGCCCCATAAAACCCAAGTACGCATGACTTTGTAAAAGGATTTAACACCAGATTGGATTAATGTTGGAAATTAGAAATAGCAATCATAATGAGAAAGCCAAAACACAAACCCATTTGCTTTATTAATGACTATTACAAACATTGTACAAAAAGCATTCAAATGGAACATATTAAAAAAAACCTGATTAAAGTAAGAAATATAAGAGAAACGTGTTTAAAATACAAATAACATAAATGGGACATGACTCAGACAAATGCACGGAAGTAAAATTACAACACAACACGAATTCCTTCATTTTTTCCTTCATTATGTTTGTGTAACTCCATCATTAACTTTCAAATATTGACAGAAATGCAGACGTGTGCCTACATTGTCTGGCAAAACATTAAAATACTTCTTGGAATTTTATCATTTGTTGTATTGGCGCAACGAAAAGTATTATTAAGTATCTCTCTCGGTCTCTCTGTCTGTCTTTGTCTCTGTCTCTGTGTCCCTGTGTCTCTGTCTCTCTGTCTCTCTGTGTCTCTGTCTGTCTTTGTCTCTGTCTCTGTGTCTCTGTCTCTGTGTCTCTGTCTCTCTGTCTCTGTCTGTGTCTCTGTCTCTCTCTCTGTCTCTCTGTCTCTCTGTCTCTCTGTCTGTCTTTGTTTCTGTGTCTCTGTCTCTGTGTCTCTTTCTCTGTCTCTGTCTCTGTCCCTGTGTCTCTGTGTCTCTGTGTCTCTGTGTCTCTGTCTCTCTGTCTCTCTGTCTCTCTGTCTCTCTGTCTGTCTCTCTGTCTCTGTCTGTGTCTCTGTCTGTCTGTGTCTCCGTCTCTCGTGTCTGTCTCTCTGTGTCTCTGTCTGTCTCTCTGTCTGTGTCTCTGTCTCTCTCTCTGTCTCTCTGTCTCTCTGTCTGTCTTTGTTTCTGTGTCTCTGTCTCTGTGTCTCTGTCTGTCTCTCTGTCTGTGTCTCTGTCTCTCTCTCTCTGTCTCTCTGTCTGTCTTTGTTTCTGTGTCTCTGTCTCTGTGTCTCTGTCTGTCTCTCTGTCTGTGTCTCTGTCTCTCTGTCTGTCTCGCTGTCTCTGTCTGTGTCTCTGTCTCTCTGTCTGTCTGTCTCTGTGTCTCTGTCTGTCTGTCTCTGTGTCTCTGTCTCTCTGTCTGTCTCTCTGTCTCTGTCTGTCTCTCTGTCTCTCTGTGTCTCTGTCTCTCTGTCTCGGTCTCTCTCTCTGTCTCGGCCTGGGTCTCTGGGTCTCTGTCTCTCCCTCTCTCTCTCTCTGTCTCTGTCTCTCACTCTCACACTCTCTCTCTCTCTGTCTCTGTCTCTCACTCTCACACTCTCTCTCTCCCTCACTCTCACACTCTCTCTCTCAAACTCTCTCTCTCTCTCTCTCTTCATTTCTTTGAACCTAAATCACCAGTTCATCTATTACAGTACAGCTACTTGCTTCCAATTGTAACCTTTTGGGTAATCAGCTCCAATCTTTCTACTATTCAAATAAAAAATATTAAACCCAAAGCGACATCTTTTAGGGTCTCAAATGTTTGGGGTAGAACGAGCCCAGGGTACACAGGTGAGTGCTGCACTGCTAGCGCCCTCTGCTGGTGCGGTTTAACAACACATTTCATGCTGACAATAGAGTCAAACAGTCTATTTCATTAAGAGTCACAAACTATTTAAATTACGGGATACATCATTTTAATTTCAAAAGCCGCTTACTTGAGTTTTTCCTTGCCAATGCAATGGTGATGATCCAGGACACTTTAACATTCTACAACATGTATGACATTTATCAACATGTGTTCTATATACTTTATGTGTTTTAACTGTTGATTCTCTGATCTGTGTTGGTTTTGTTAAGTCCTCTGAGATGACTTCTGTTGTGATTTAGTGCTAGAATAAATTGTAATTGTGTGTGTGCTTGTTTGTTTATATTGTTAAAAATTGTCCCACAATTTCTATTAAAATAATAATAATAATTTAAAAAAGCATCACAGAAATGTTTAATATTGGACTGATCCAGGACCAAGCAGGTAGTAAAAAAGGAACCTGGTACCAGTTATATAGGGCAGAGTACATAAAGTATTATTGATTCATGCCTATTGGTTCAGGTTTTGGTTACTTTATGACCGTGGCTTCACACTGTGAGATTACCGCAACCAAAGTGTCTATATCATAAACTGGTTTCACACTTAAAGTTGAAAGAGTAACAAACATTTTGAACAATATTCTAATTTCCAGAGTTTTCCCTGGTGAAACGTACACATACATACGTACATAGCTCAAAGTAAAGTTGAGATAAGTTAAAACAACTTTAATTAAGAATAAGTTATGTGTTGTATTTATATGGAACCCTCACAATAAACAAAACGAGTGAGAAGCTGCATGGATGTGAACAAAGTGAGACTGAAGCCAGCTGCTCTTTGGACGCTGTGGGTGAATGATAGAACTGTGTCTGCTTTTCTGAACACGAGCAGACAAAAACTCCAAGACAATCTAATCTGACAGTTAAAGTTAACGAGTCTTTATTTGAGCATGGCTTTGAGATTATTTAAAAATACACCATTTCAGAAACTTGCCTTCCTCAAAGGGGGTATCAAAGAACTCTGAGGAAGAAGGCAACAATGTATCTTCATTAGAGCACATGTTGACTGCCTTAAAACAGGATTTGCCAATAGGACAAGCACAATTATCTTGTTTTTTAAAGATACAAGTAATGCCTCCCTTGGAATGAGAAAATAAAGAAACAGTCTATGACATGGGTGTAAAAATCAAGACCTAGGGGCAAGATCCGGCCCACAAGACACTATCTTGTAGCCCCTAAAACTATTCATTATTATTAACTAGCAGCATTGATGGTATAGGGTGACCAAGGCAGGTTATATATCATATTTTCTCTCATGAAAACAACCAAATGTAATGTATTCTAACATTTTAACCCAATAACACATCAATAGAATTTAAATAGTTCAATATCAAATGTGTTTAACTCTATATTTGGTTCAATCTAAACAATAAACGCATTTCGTTTTCAGAAAAATAAACCAGAAAATAACACATTAAAATACCTTCATAATGCAAAAAAACTATTATAAGAAAAGAAAATCTCTTCTATTGTTTTGCCCCCGACCTGTTCCTAGTTTTTTTAATCTGCCCCTGACCAAAATGAGTTTGACACGCCTGGTCTATGAAATAAGACTAAACTGCTTAGTCCCATCGGCAAATCTTGTTGTCAGAATTCACATAAATGAAGATACAAACCGCTCAATTCAAGCAATTATCAGTTTTTGCAGTGAAGTTGTTGTGTTTTTAAATAAAGGCTTCTTAACTTGAACCATGGCAGTGCCTTTGACTTCTATTTGAGTTAGATTCTGATTCAGGAGTGAAGCATGGACCTGAGTGATTCCATCTTACCCAAAGCCTTGCAGACAGAACCAAGGCCTGTACTGAATACGCAGCTGTCTCTGCTCTGAGACACAGTGATAGAGTCCGGAGCTCACAGAGAGTCCAGTCTAGTAATGACTATATGCTGGAGTCTCCTTCAACTCGTGGTAGCCCTGGTGGTTAGGCTCTGTGGACAGACAGAGAGGGCAGTTAGATGTGGACCTCTCGTGTACCCAGTGTATGACAATGGATCTATAAGACTATAATAAAAAGGTTTGATTTCAGTCTAGTTTTAGGCTCTGATGTTTCCACCATATGTACTTTTCTGTTCTTTAGTAAATGTGTTCTGGTCATGATGATAGAGTGTGGTATGGGCCAGTTAATCTATTCTACACATTTCAATGCATATACAATTCAACCAACCATTCAATTTATAAACACATTCATATGAAAGATACAGCTGGGTTCATCAAATCTGTAACATCAGCAGCTTCTATCATCTAAAAACATTGCCAGAATGAAAAATATAGTGTCTAAAGCAGATTTGGAGATTATAATCCATGCATTTTTCTCCAGTAGGTAAGACTACTGTAACGGTCTCTCCAAACAAGCAGTACAACAGCTGCAGCTCGAGTCCTGACTAGAACCAGGAAGTACGACCACATTAGTCCAGTCCTCAGGTCTCTGCACTGGCTTCCTGTGGCTCAGAGAATAGACTTTAAATCATCTTTGCTTGTGTACAAGTTGTTCCATGGCCTTGCACCACAGTATATCTGTGACATGTTAGTGCCATATGAACTTGGACTCTGAGGACTCTGAGGAGCACAGGGACCGGCCTCCTGCCGGGGCCAGAGTCAAGAATAAACATGGGGAAGAAGCATTTCCCATGTATACAGCTAACATCTGGAACAGTCTTCCTGAAAGTGTGAGATAGGCTTCTACTGTAACAGCGTTCAAATCCAGGTTTATGGTTTTAATCCCTTGTGTGATATTAATGTTTGTTGTTAATGACCTGTGTATTTGTATGTTTTTAATTTTGAGTATGATCTTAATGGTTGTTTCCCTTTGTGTTTTTTATATTTTTAGGATTTCATGCATGGTGTGATTTTGATTTGAGAGGGGCTGTGAAGCATTCTGTTACCTTGTGCAGGACTCTACAAATAAAGGTTGATTGATTGATGACTTACTTTTGCCTATGGCCTATCTATAACTATATGATTTATAAATCACATAAACTGCGCTAATCCAATAATAAAAAATATTCCCAAGAAATGCCCAACAATCCTTTCCGTAGTAAAAATCCTTCACTTGATAAATTTCTGCACGTCCCATATGATGTAGGCGAAGATGGCCACTAGCAGGACGCGTTTAAACGTGTAGACGAGTGCAGAAGTACCCAGGCTCATGCTCTGCTCCACCAGGGGGCGCTGCTCACTGCAATTCACCACTCTCCCTTGCGCCGCCCCCAGAATCGTCATGATGTCCACCAAGTCCAGCTTCCCCTCCTGCTTGGCCTCCTCCACCTCCTCCGCCAGCTCCATCGCCGCCTCCTCTTTCTCCTCCAGCTCCTCCTGCGTCAACATGGCGTTTATCCCCGTGGCGTTGCCTACCCGCGGTGGCGCCAGCGAGCACAGCGCCCGCACCTGGCCGTACGACTTGAGGTGTGCCACGTTGGCGCGCAGGAAGAGCATCAGGACGTTCAGATCGTTCAGCGCGCAGCCGAGTTTGCGTCGGTCGGTGATGTCCAACGCCGGAAGCACTTGGTAGACGGAAAGAAAAGTCGTGTCCCAAACGAAAAGTCGCATCAGGCTGAAGACGACGATGGGGCCGAGTAGGACGTAGATGGCGCCGTTGGCCACGCTGATGACTTGGAAGACGAGCTGTCCGATCATTTTGCACTGGACGAGCTCGGGGATCCAGGTCTGGTCGCGGAGCATGCCCGTGCGCACGAAGCAGCTGAACTCGTCCTGGAGGAAGGCGGAGAGGTGGAAGTAGGCAAGGTAGAGGCAGGCGGCCGTCATGAAAGTGAGAAGGAGGAAGCCGCGCAGGAACAGCATGCTAACCAGGAAGTAAGAGCGCTGTTTGCACCGCATGTATCGCTCCAGGAGAGGGTACTCAAAGTAGCGCTTCTTCTTGGCTCTGAAACGGAGACAGAAAATGGCGAGTTAGTGTAAACTTTTGGATTTTATTGCTAGCTTACACTGCAAATAATAATTGTTTATTTTCTCATTCTAAGTGGACACATTTCTTGCATCCTTTTAAATAAAGATCATTGGCAAATCTTGTTTTAAGGCAGTGAAAATGTGCTTAAATTAAGATACATTTACCAAATTTGAGCAATTTTTTGACTTCATCACCTTTAATGCTGACTCCTTGGAGTAAGAAATGTAATTGTTTGTAGAACAACCAGTTTCTCCACTCTCCACTTCTTCTGCCCTCTCCACTTCCATATTTCACCATATTCAACAAATAACTACGATTCCCCTCGTTGCCTCCTCCCACTCCATGACCAAGACACAATTCCCACAATAAATATTTGAACTGGACTCTGTTGCTCTGTTTATTACGTTGAAGCCATTACCTGGAACTAGTACAGTCAAGGACACACCACATCTACACTTAATCTATATTTTTCATGGATTTTCTAAGCACTAATAACACATATTGTTTCTACGTTTTAAATAAATATGAATTATTTAAGCCCTAGTTTTTTTAATTATAGGCCTTTACCAAATGGATGAGATTGAGATTGCCTAAAACCACGTGATAGAGATGCCCCAATTAGGTAGATTTCAGTTCCAAGCTTCAAGTGTTTAGTGATCCACCAAATAGTAGAGGGAACCTGTTAAAAACTGGTTCAACTACAGTTATCTGGACAGAAGCACACAACACACAAGGTAATTAGTTTATACTTGCATGTAACAAGGAGCAGATGGCTTTACATCTGCGTCCTCTGCCACCGTAAAGACAAGTCCTGCTTCATTTGCTCTGCAGGCAGCTCTTTTATTTCAGAACAGAATCCAAACCCTCACAGAATGGCCACACAAGATAAAACATTAACCACTCGTTGGACATTATCGTTTTCACAAAATACCGCAAATGTGGACAATGTGGATAATTATTAGCCTGGTTTCAACACCGGAATGGTAAGTTTCCCACACTCCAATGTGGGTCAACACACTGAATATACTTACATTCACTTTAATGATAACCCAACAACAATTCCACTATCAGAACCAATAAAGGGGTAATGTACAAAACTGTTCCATAACAAATCAGTAAATACTTTCATGAATACAGTTGCATTGCTGTTACGTCTGTCAAGGGTGTACATTGGAGATGGTCACTGACAAACCATGCGTTCATTTTACAGTTGTGTTTTCCAGTGTCTATCTGTTTGATAAGTGTGTCTTCTATATAAGACGCTATACTTCTCTGTGAAAACCAGACTCGCAGGAGCTTCTGGGACCAAGACCTTGCTGAGACTCTAAAGCTGTCAATAAAAACGATTGTTAGAACAAAGTCTAACTCTCCTTGTGTCTCATTTAATGTCCAGGAAATGATTTTCACATTGACAAGGCTTACCCAAGTGACCACAGAATTCTACTTTGGGATATAAACGGCAAGAAGATAGAGAGAGAGAGAGAGAAAGAGAGAGAGAGAGAGAGAGAAGAGAGAGAGAGAAGAGAGAGAGAGGGAGGGAGAGAGACGAGAGAGAGAAAGAAGAGAGAGAGAGGGAGGGAGAGAGACGAGAGAGAGAGAGAGAAGAGAGAGAAAGAGAGAGAGAGAGAGAGAAAGAGAGAGAGAGAGAAGAGAGAGAGGGAGAGAGAGAAGAGAGAGAGAGACGAGAGAGAGGGAGAGAGAGGGAGGGAGAAAGAGAAGAGAGAGAGAGAAGAGAGAGAGAGACGAGAGAGAGAGAAAGAGAGAAGAGAGAGAGGGAGAGAGAGAAGAGAGAGAGAGACGAGAGAGAGGGAGAGAGAGAGAGAGAGAGAGGGAGGGAGAGAGACGAGAGAGAGAGAAGAGAGAGAAAGAGAAAGAGAGAAGAGAGAGAAAGCAAGAAGAGAGAGAGAGGGAGGGAGAGAGACGAGAGAGAGAGAAGAGAGAGAAAGAGAGAGAAAGAGAGAAGAGAGAGAAAGAGAGAAGAGAGAGAGAGAGAAGAGAGAGAAAGAGAGAAGAGAGAGAGGGAGAGAGAGAAGAGAGAGAGAGACGAGAGAGAGGGAGAGAGAGAGAGAAAAGGGGAAAACATAACTTAGAAAGGCTGTGGTTGGAGAATCATTTTGGGCGTTGTGTAATTACAGCAGAGTTTAAGTTATATTTACCAAAGACAAGGAATAAGGTTGAGATTGAATTAACTAAAAAAACTTAACTCTAGTAACTATTTGACACTTTAGTCCGATAGAGGATTGGCTGAGCTGACATCTGTTTTTTTTTCACATTTCTGTCTGAATAATCTTATCTCAAGATGTGACAAAGGCCAAAACATGTGAAACTAGTTAGATGGTATATAGAATGTTTTTGTGGGTTAAAAGTGAAGTAAACCAGCTTTAATTTCCGTAGTTTTGTCTTTACACTATGAATGCATTTAGTAATTATTGATAGCTCTTATAATAAACATATCAAAATAAAAACTAAGAAAATAAAATGGAACAGAATAAACAAAATAAAAAGACATTGCCTGTTATCATCAATATTAATTTTGTAAAAAAAATCTAAATTGAATCTGTATTTCATTTGAAATTTTTTTATTGATAATTGTTTAGAAAATGTCCATGGTACCTGTCGAGCTCGGCCTGGAAGGTGAGGGGGTTCTTGGTGCTCTGGCGCAGCTCCAGGATGTTCTGAGCCAGGCGGATGGAGCGGTTGTACGACTTGTCCAGTTCGTCCATGATGAAGAGCATGTCCGACCCCAGCGAGGGCATGACCAGCTGCCTCCAGATCAGAGCGGGCAGATACATGAGCACCGCCATGGCCAGCAGCGAGTACGGGAACATCTTAGCACAGCAAGAATCAGAATCAGAATCAGCAAGACCAGGATCCACTGCTCCACTGCCTCTGCCCACGTTCATACAGAAGTAAGAAAAACAATGTGCAAAAAGTTGGTTGGACTTGGTATATTTCTGTATCGTGTTAAAATGGTGCACTGTATTGATCCAAATAGTTCTCATTTAAGGCTGAGAAAGAGCGTTATTGCTTGTTTCATAAGTACATTTTGTTTGTTCTAACAGAAAGACCACTGTTAAACGGTAAATGGGAGGATTTTCCAACATTTTATGAAAGAACAGCCATCTCCACTTTTTGAACTAAACTCTCTGGTCTTATTTTACGAGCACGTATCACCAGAATGATTGACAATTAGAAGGTTCAATAGTTTTGATGATCCACTCGGAAGTAGAAAATCCTCCTATACTGTACCTTTAAGAACATTTTTGAAGTAAAAAAGCGTTCTATGCTCTCTTTATCTTAATAAATCCTCGCACCAAAGTATATCCAAGATATGTTAGTGCCATATGAACCAACTTGGACTTGAGGAGCACAGGAACTGGCCTCCTGCTGGGACTCTCAGGGGCACAGGGACTGGCCTCCTGCTGGGACTCTCAGGGGCACAGGGACTGGCCTCCTGCTGGGACTCTGAGGAGCACAGGGACTGGCCTCCTGCTAGGACTCTGAGGAGTACAGGGACTGGCCTCCTGCTGGGACTCTGAGGAGTACAGGGACTGGCCTCCTGCTGGGACTCTGAGGAGTACAGGGACTGGCCTCCTGCTGGGACTCTGAGGAGTACAGGGACTGGCCTCCTGCTGGGACTCTGAGGAGTACAGGGACTGGCCTCCTGCTGGGACTCTGAGGAGTACAGGGACTGGCCTCCTGCTGGGACTCTGAGGAGTACAGGGACTGGCCTCCTGCTGGGACTCTGAGGAGTACAGGGACTGGCCTCCTGCTGGGACTCTGAGGAGTACAGGGACTGGCCTCCTGCTGGGACTCTGAGGAGCACAGGGACTGGCCTCCTGCTGCGACTTTTGAGTAGCACAGGGACTGACTACCTTTATAACCGGGAGAATGGCGTTGTGGCAAGAGCTCTGGCACACACTAGCGTAGTCTTGCACAGTTCGTTTTTCCAATGTGGTTTTACTGCAGATGGCAAATAAATTCTTGAATCTTGAATTCTTGGTTGAACCAGTTTAAAAACGGTTTAGCTGTACTGACAACTAAAGAATTGTATCGTCACTATTGTTGAATATACTGTGACTATTTAAGATGAGAATTTCTTTTCTTCTACAGACTATGTGGAATCATAAATTATATTCTCTGAAAAATAGATTTGTATGTAAACGTAAGCAAACAACATTTTTATTTTAGCTCAGTTCATTCATGGGGATGGCAGAAATATTGTGTTGTGTGTGCATTCGTGAAATCCTTATGAAAACCATGTATAAACTGTGATAGATATACACATGAACTAATTCTGTTTTCAACCATTTTAAGACTGTAAAAATCACATACAGTGCCACAAATTTTCCTTTTCCGTTTTTAAATCTGAGATGTAACTTTGTCTGTGATGGTGGTTTAAAGGCAGAAGAGGCTGACATCACGGAGATCAGAGGTCCAGGACTCACTTTGTGCACCCACAGCGAGCGCTCCTCAAAGTTGCCGTCGCTGTCAAACTCGTGGTGCATGAGGGAGTCCCAGCAGTACGTGTCCACATATCCGGCCTGTTTGATGGTGAAGTTACTGGGCGGGAAGCAGCTGATCTGAGGCCCTGTGAATCAAGAGGTGCCAGAGTTTTTTACACAGAATCATTCCCTTTGATAGCACTTCTACAAGCTGTTCTTTAAAGGTGACACCAAAATCCACTGTTTATTATATATCTAGTATCTTGTTTATTTAGTGTTTTTTGAAATCGCAATCATGAGCTAAAAGAATGAAAAGATACTGGAAACATGGTCGCATTTTAGACCACGGGTCGCCAACCTGTAGCTTAGGAGCAACAATTAGCTCAACCAGGTAGCTCCCCAAAGGATTTAGAATTCAACACATGACATTTTGAGTGATTACAATACATCTGTCTATACAAATAACATCAACAACTGGATGCCCGAGGTTCTGCTCTTTACGATGAGCTACAGCGTGCCTATATTGGCAGAGATGAAGTTGGTCCTGGATCTAAAGCCTGAGTCCTGGATCTACAGCCTCAGTCCTGGATCTACAGCCTGAGTCCTGGATCTACAGCCTCAGTCCTGGATCTACAGCGTCAGTCCTGGATCTACAGCCTGAGTCCTGGATCTACAGCCTCAGTCCTGGATCTACAGCCTTAGTCCTGAATCTACAGTCTCAGTCCTGGATCTACAGCCTCAGTCCTGGATCTACAGCCTTAGTCCTGGATCTACAGCCTGAGTCCTGGATCTACAGCCTCAGTCCTGGATCTACAGCCTCAGTCCTGGATCTACAGCCTGAGTCCTGGATCTACAGCGTCAGTCCTGGATCTACAGCCTGAGTCCTGGATCTACAGCGTCAGTCCTGGATCTACAGCCTGAGTCCTGGATCTACAGCCTCAGTCCTGGATCTACAGCCTGAGTCCTGGATCTACAGCGTCAGTCCTGGATCTACAGCCTGAGTCCTGGATCTACAGCCTCAGTCCTGGATCTACAGCCTTAGTCCTGAATCTACAGTCTCAGTCCTGGATCTACAGCCTCAGCCTTAGAACTATTTGATTATCCGATATTTGGTGGCAAACCGACAACTTTGAGGAGATAAAGATAACTACTGTGATTTACAAATTTACAAAAAGAAATTGAATGGTTAACTTTGACTACACTACTCTCATGTTGGAGCAGCATTTGCCCCTCACTGTTTCTCCATGAGTTCCAACCCCTGCTCTCTGGTTTTTCCTGTCGTTGGAGGCCGTTATTACCGCGCTCCTCCGCCCAGAGCAGGACCAGGGCGTGCCTCAGCTCCTCACAGAGCGCCTATACTTTACAGCCAGTCTCACATCTGCCCTCGTTCTCAAAGTAGAAAGTCACGGCCCCTAATTTAACCCTGGGATGCGTTTTGGGATGTTTTATTACAGGCTGCGAGGCTGAAAAAGGCCTGTGTGAATGTCATTAATCAGTGTTGTAAGTATACGGTGAGTGCAGTACAAGGATACACAGTATGTTTGACTCCATAGATGTTTTACTTTGAACACATAGTGCACAGTACTCTGGTCTAGAACATGGGTGGGCCAAATGCATAGGAATTCTTATCAAGGGTTAATTCAGCCATTACAAAAGACTAAACACTATACACTATAGTACACTATAAGGGCAAATACTCTTCAAACTTTAGTACATGTTTGTTCTTGAATATAAGACTTACTGCTTATTTCACTCCATAATACTCGACACACAATTTGTGCAGCAAAAAACACAGTGGATACCTGTGCTCGTTCCTAAAACCTCACCATTTTCTTCCAAATTCTTAATTTAAGTTAAAAAAAAATCACAAAAAATTATTGATATCACGCTTCAGGAGCGTGGAAGTCACAGCACGCTGCTATTTTTGGCCCGTAGAAATGATTGACATCTTGATCAAGATTTATCAGGTAATTAGGACTAGAACTAAAACATGCTGAGTTTTAACATTTTAAATCATGAACAGATTATGTGTCTAAGTCATGGATGTCAAAGTCAAATACATCAAAAGGCCAAAAAAACAAATTTGCCAAACTGGTTCAATGTTTATTCAAACTCAATAAAATGATTGCATACAACCTATTAAACCAAGACCTAACACAATGTGCCATATTAGATTTAGTAAGTAAATGAATAATCCAATATTGTTGTGGCTCTGTCAGTAATTTCAAGTAAAAACATTTTTCAATAGGCTCCCAGACAAAAACAAACGTCCTTCAAAGAGAAAACACATGTCCTGACCCTTACATTAATAATCTAACATTTTCTTATGGCTTTGTATGTGTGTGTGCCAGTTCTTATCAGAATCAGAATCACTTTTATTGCCATGTAACTATGTCACAGAGTTGGAAATTGCTTTGGCTCTTATCAAATATCAACCCGGGGGCCAAGACAATTCATTCGTGGGCCGGATTTTGTCTGTTTGCAATCTTATTGGTCCTCAAACATTATTCTTGTTTGGCTAAAGTCTTGTAGAAGTTAATTGTGAATTAATTATACACATCAATTACACAAGCACAGAATATTCCATGATTTAGTTAGCAAAGGTCAGCCAATCATTTCCCCAAGTCAAATTACAGAAAGAGCTACAGTATATTTCTGCCCATAAAAATCGTCTATGGCTTCCCTATCAGCCACTTATTACATTCAATGGGACTTTTTATATACAACTGAGGTCAGGTCAGAAAGACAGGAGCTCAGACGACAGCTCATGCTTTTTCTGCACATTTCGCTGCTAGTTTTCCAGGACATAAGCGTTGGTGTTTCTAAATAACATCAAAAGCGCCTTTATTTCACACCTCCGTATATTTATAGCTGCATGGATCTGGAATAGGTGCGATTACTTCCACACGGAAACACTTGCCAGTTCCTCAAATGGAAGAAAAAGTCCGTCTGTATCATTTGTCGCATTAGAAAAAGGATTTATTCATGTCTATTTTGTTAACGTGCCTTTGGTGAAAATCATATATTTCATTGTATAACTTTGTAAATAACACTGCCGTCTTTTTCAGAATACTCCTGGGCTGAGTTTCAGAATTTCCCAGGCTCCCGTGCATCGCCGCCTGCCTTTCCTGTCTGCTTATATAAACTTCTGTAGGTGTGCACGTTGACAAGGCGCCTTTCAAACAGAGAGCTCTGAAGAACATTTTTTGTTTCCCTTTGGCAGAGAAATCGTCCTATTTGTACAACTGCTCCTGACATCCAAACTAACATAGGATTTGGACACATTTTTGAGCTTGAACGCGAGGCAGGATTTGGACAGGGAAGTATATTTAAAGCTACGGGTACCTAATTTTCAAAGCACAAAAGAATTGAACTGTGCTGTAAAATCCATGTAGCTAAGATAAGATAAACTTTATGAATCTCACAATGGAGATATGTACATGTGACATTTGGCATGGAATCACTCAGGTTGTGCCAAAAGACAGAAGTGTGCAAACATGTAAACAGGTGAAAAAATGTAGTCTCTTTTGTGCAAGATATATTACGTACAATGAAAAATTAAGTGACTAGTGAGCTACAGTTGTCCATTGCCAGAACATAGAATGATTGTCTCAGGTCTTAAACTGCAGGACAAATGTAAGAGAGAAACCTGAACCTGAGCTTTCATCAGCACACGTCTCTCTAAAACAGTGGTCTCAAACCAGTAGCTCGCCAGCCCCTTTCAGGTAGCTCCCCAAAGGATTTAGAATTTATATATATGGGCTACACAGTATTATTTACAGAACTGTTTACTGTATTTACTGTTGTCGTAATCATCACATAGATCTTATTTACGATTGCAGAAAGGAGTAGATCTGCCTCTTCTGTAGCTCTCTGATTGAAAAAAGTTTGAGACCCCTGCTCTAAAACCATATGCAAAAGCTCAAATGTGGCAAAATGTGCATGGCCTGTTCCACATCCTCTCATCACTCTGCCTTTAAGTCTCTGGTGCAGACATCACTTCTCTTCCAGATTATTCCATGTCACAAGTCAGTGTACTGTGTCAGTGTGAGTTTTTGGCTTGCTCTTTTGTTGTTTTTTGTGTCTTGTGTTCAGGTTTGCCTTTTTTTCTGACCAGCCATCCAGCTCCACTGCCTGACTTATGTATTCGTTTTTTTTTTGTTTTTTTATAAAGTAAATCCATATTTGAATCAAGCTCTGTCCCAGTCTCTGCTTTGGAGTCCAGCACACAACCCTAACACAAGAAATGTCTCTCTTGGAATGAGTTCTTGAAAAAAGACTAGATGACTAAAGACAGTCAGCATGTACTCAAAAGATCAAAGCCGCAAGCATTTATTATTACATTTTTTTTTTTTAAATTGCAGTGTAAGACGTGAGATCCCCTTATCGACCCACAGCCAGCCCTATCTACACCAACTACCATCAGCACCTCACACACATTTGAGATTCCAGGTGCAAGTAGGTGAAAAATTCCATGTGCAATCAGTTCTGTTGTCAAAAGTATTGGACTTGGGCTGGTTGGACGTCTCACACTACACACACACTACACACACACAGACTACACACACACACTCCCCTTCCTGCCTCATCAACATCCCCTTCACAGTTCACTCTGATGGAGAGGAGCTGCGACGAAGAAGAGAAGTTGTAATTACAGCTTGCCAGTCTTAGGGAGCGGCAATTAGAATCAGGAGCACGGGAGCTGATTGCACTGACGCCGGGTTTAAAGTCAGCCGCAAAGACATGAACAGACAGGCCTCTCATTTGCAGCGCCGTTAGTCAAATCAGTTATAAAGAGGACTGACATATGGAGTGAGACGATTAACACTGGGATCTATGGAAGGAGGCTATTTTGTGAATGATAATTGGTATTTTTGGATGTGTTTAGACCAAAAAATTATGTGTGGTTACATTTATATTTCAAGTATCTGCCTATTTTTGTCGTTTTTTATATTGGAATGACATATTGTAGCTGCATGTTGGTCAGAGAGAGTGCTTGTTAGGCTAATGTTTGGCGCCACCTGCTGACAATAGAGGAAATAGCACACACATGTCTTAAAATTAAAAAGGTCTGCAGTGTATGGTTTTTGAAGTATTGTCGTTTTGAAAGTCCTAAAGCACAACACATTATTGTTTTTTTTCTCCTGCAAAAATGTTCTTGGTCAAAGCATTTTCTGTCAATTGGAGAATCTAAAGAACAGCTTCCATGCAAACTCTTACCAGTATGGAGGCCTGGTAGAACAGAAAATATGTTTTACAGTCCAAATTCCGTGACCCTCATTTGTCTTTTTTAATGCAATTTACATCAATATCATTTAATCTGGGTTCTCATAGACTTCCAGGATGTGTAAAATTAGTTTGTGAGAAGGTTGAGCCAACTGAGATTTCCTTTTTGTATATACGATACTTTGAGTTATGTATGAAAACGATCAGTTGGGAGCTTTAACTCCTTTGCTGAATCAAACGTTTCTATAGTCCGGTCCTTAAATAGTTTATGGAACCATGTCAGACCCCAATCCTTCCACAGTCTGTAAGTCCCATCTGTCCTGGCAGTATCTAATGGCTGAATGTTCTTTTTTTTGCAGAAAAAAAAGGACATATAAAACAACATCAATGACTGCCACCCCCCCGACCACCCCGACCCTGAATGACATACATAGACATTCAGGTAGACATACATAGACATACATGTAAACATACGGGTAGGGATACAGATAGACATACTTTCTAAATTTTCTACACATGTTTTTGTCAGATTTAGCAGGTATGATGAATAATTGAGTATACATTCTTTGATCTTAACACTGATTGCCCTGAGAAGATAGAGGCGAAGGGATAATCTATTGTATTTTCTTTCATTAAAAAATGTGCTTTATCGGTTTACAACACTATGCATTATTAGTTAAAGCTGGAGAACCTAATTTCTAAACCACAAACAATCATCTTGTGTAATTACATCCATGTAACTAGTTCTGTTTGGTTCTTTCACTCGTTTTCACATGTATGTTTGGCCTTTGTCACATCTTCAGATCAGGTTTTTCAGAGAACAATAGAGAACCGCCCTCAGCCAATCAGCTCTCAGTATGTAAAAGATAACACGTTTTCTAATGATATAAAGATAGCATGTTGCGGTCTGATTTGTTCAATTTTTTTTACTGAAACAAGATTCTTTCTCAAAAAAACGAGATTGAACCAAAACAATAGTTAGGTATGCCAGCTTTAATTCAGAAAAGGCACATTCTCACACTTATACCTGTGCATGACTGACTATAATTACAGTATAGCCTTGAGATTTTCAAAGTCAGAGCCAGAATAAGGGCAATGGCATGTTCAGATGGAAGTAGTCTTTATGCAGGACAATGTTTTGCAAATTCCACTTTTCAAGACTGTTTTTCAGTTTCCCTGCATGTTTGTGTTTTCATCTGTGATATGCATCTGCTGTTATGTTTCAGCTTTGTTGCAATGCACATAGTAATACTGAAAATAAAACATAAACATAAAAAATGCTTTCAGTTTCTCTGAAATATAGCACTTCTTTATTATGGTTATAGATAATAATGTTTCTGATGGAACAACATGCCATTCAGAACACATCTCTGTGGTTTCATTTTAAAGTATTTAAAATAGTAAAAATAAGTACTATGTGGACAATAGTATGACACCAAATTAATTCAAGCTGGAGTTACTGAACCATGTCTACAAGTAAACCAAATGTTTTTTTTGACATAATGTATATTTATGAATTTGGATGCAAACAACAAAGGAACAGAACCAGAGCAGACTCAAACCCATCTTTTCTGAACGTGTGGCGAGGACGTACCCAGGGAGATCTCTCGGGCGAAGGCCATGCAGACGAGCAGCAGGGGCAGCCCCACAGACACGTACTTGATGACCTTGTCCAGAGGCAGCTCCAGCTCCAGGTGGGACACACGGTTTATGGCCGGCTGCTCCGGGAGAAGAGCGTCCGTGAGCATGGCGTGGGCCGCTGCTTTGGCGATAGACATGGCTGAAGCGTGCTGCCACAGAGACACAAGCAGGACTTCAGAACAACAACACAGGGTTTCAATGGTGTGTACAGGGCTGGAAATATTCAACATGGCAACAACAAGAGCAACATAGCTGTGCAGATTTTTATTTTATTTTTTGAATCTAGCACGTTAGTTCAGGCTGCTGGGATGTGTGGCCTTCGCTCAAACATTCTTAAAAAATTTAATTCAGGCACACAAAAAAATGTTGCTTATTCAAATGATTCTACAGAGAGAAAATACAATACTAAATAACTGCTGCAGGTAACCATGGCGATGTTATTTCATTGCATGGAATGAAACTTAGAATGTACACATTTCTGAATTACTTTATTTTTATAGATCAAAAACCTGATTTATTTATTCTAGGACCCTAACAAAAAGCTAACCCGCCACCAAAGAAGTTGAGCAATGCACCTTTAAGATTAAGGTTAAAAAAAACTACACAAATATAACAATGGTCTTACTGTATATGAGCAGACATTTTGTGGCATGAGTGTAACCATTGTTATATTTGTGTAGTTATTATCAGAGAACTAATATCAAAATAAAACCATTTAACAAATAATCCACACCATGACAAAGACACACTCATCATCAGGAGAGTTTCTTGTATGCACAATTTCAACACCAGAATTTGCCACAATTTTGTCCCATTAGTGCCAGGATACAAATCATCAACTAGTAAAAGATTGCAGTTACAACAGCATTTACACAATAAACATCCTTAAGGCAAACACAAAAAGATCATGTCCCCTCTGCCAGAGATGAACCACAGAGCGATTCGGTTTTCAGCAGCAAAACATGAACATTCATCATCTGGAGCCGTGCCAAAAATAAGAAACTGCTGGAGTTGGAGGTGAAGTTACTCGAGCCTGTTTCTCCAAAAGGGCATTGGTTAAAATAACTCTCCAACTCCCCTCTGTACTAACATTCAGATTCAGTTAATTTGCCATTTGCAGTAAAACCACATTGGAATAACTATGCAAGACTACCCCAGTGTGCACCAGACAGAGCTCTTGCCTCGGAAACATGTATATAATTTCAATTCAATTAAATGTATCATTGTATAGCCGTAAATCACAAAAGTAGTTATCTTAGAAGACTTAACTCTAAAACCCAGTGGGATAAAAGCGAGAAACCAATAAAGAACCTCTGAAATACAGTGAGCTCCGACAGGGTTTGTCGCTGTCCAGTCCGATGTGCACATAAAAAACGTCTCTTCACACACCACAGGTTGAGCTTTTGTTCATTACATTTCTCTTACTCATTAAGTACATCTCATTATCAGTTTGCATTGGCTTTGATTACTCCAACTTCATAGTTAGTGCAGAAATACACTCGCTGACCACCAGGGGTCCGTGATCTAAATCGTCATTCATGATTTCAACAAATGACAAGGTGCTGTGAGATGAAGAAAGCACATTACACAAAGTCTAATGCATCCTGAAGCATCCTAGAGACAACAGTGATGGGAAGTATAGGCCCCATACTGACCACAAATACTGACCACACATGCAGACACTGGGTCACTACAAGGTAAAATATGCAAAAAAATATGCACTTTTTCACATAAACAGTATCATAAAGCACCTTTAAGTCATTGATTTACCCAATGCCCATTTGATCATTTGAAATAGCATGTTCTTCTCTGTATGTGGTGCCTTTTTACCATAACCAGCACTATTTCTTGCCTACATTTTTGTCTTAAAATGGCCCTCAACTACAAGACCTTCCCCCCAGCTGCTCTCTTACCTGGGGGACTCCACCTTTAACCATGGACGCGATTCTAAAACTCTCTCCCGGCTGCAAGTCCTTCTTGGGAGAGTGGTTAATCTTCTTAAGTAGTGAAGGCGGTGCACAGGCTGGTGCAGAGGCTGGCCCCGGGGCAGGACCGGTTCTGCTCTTCCCGGGTCTGTCTGTAATTACAGCGGGGACGTGTGGGAGCAAGGGAGGAGCCCACATGGCAGAAGCCCGAGTCGGACCTCCAGTACACCAGGGCAGTGCTGCTGATCCACTTCAAACCGCTGTGGCCCGTGGCTTTAGCTGCCTCTGTCATTGAGAGGCTATTTTTACTAGAGAGCTGGGCCTGGCACTGTACTGTACAAAACTGAGAAAGCTGCACAGATACAGAGCTGTCGAGCAAGGAAAATGGACAAAGTTACCGTTACTTTTGAAGCATTTACAGCTAGCTAAGAAACAGCTACTTAAAATATTGTTGTATTGTATTTTGTGTTCTCCCTGTGTGCTCTAATTACTGTCCTGTATGTGCGGTGCAAAAATGCAATTTCCCTACTGTCGGTCGAATTAAAGATGTCTTATCTTATCGTACTATTATTCCTCTCAAAAGTTTAATGCATAACTCGGCTTGTTTAAAGTTATACAGGAGGATTATCCCAAATTTTAGGAACACACCGCCCTCTCCACTTTTTAAACAAAACTCTCTGGTCGAGCATGTATCACCAGAATGATTGACAATTAGGAGGACCAATAGTTTTGAAGATCCACTGAGAGGAAGTAGAAAATCCTCCTTTAATTCACCAATATGTGTCCACAAGAGCTACAGCAGCACTAAGGGACTATGGCTTATTTTTTATCCCTTGGTCCTTATTGTTCTGAGTGCTGTGTGGCTTCAGATTCTGGGTCAGATCAGTAAACAAATAGCGTCACCTCTTTTATCACACTTTTGAGTCCCAGAAGGTCCCAAACCCGAGATCTGTTTCTACCACTATTTCAAACCAGCCTCTGCTATAATTTGTGGGGAACACATTATTGCTCTGCCAAACCAACACTGAACCAACAGGGACTAGATACGTACAGAATTGAACCAGTACCATAGAGTAGAGATGAAGATTTGACCTGATATCTGTAATTCAACCTAAAATGTGAAGTAAGTAAAATACTGTATGCCAAGCCTTTGTTAGTTGTAATTTGTGATTATGGTCCACAGTACATATCTTTTTTGCTGTTTTTGGAATGTATAAAGCTTGATATGTGTATCTCGGTTTGCAAGTAAAGAGTGCGTCACATAATAGTTAATATATAATAGTATAGTTGTGGAAATACAGTAGTACGTGGTTCTTATTATTTGAGCTTCAGCCATATTGGATAATACAGTTTGGACACCACCTGTTTCGACAACAGACTGTTTTTATATAGTTCAGTATCACCAGGCGGTGAAAACTTATTTTTTCAGTATTATAAAATCAATAGCAATCATCTTGTTATGACTGAAGTGAATTTTATAATGCCGGAAGATTGTTACATTTGAGTAAAAGGGATTTTTTGAGTTCAATGTGGGAATAGTTATAAAGAATGTTATTGGAATCTCTGCATGAAAATACCCTAGATAGTGTTTTTTGTTGTTTTTTAATAGAGTGAGTGCCTTTATGTGCCCTTTATGAAATGGCCTCACAGTGTATGTAACCTTGGCCTGTGCAGACCCAGGGAACCATGCACTTAAGTCCAAACAAAGATCAGATGAAAATTACGTTACATTGTGTTGATTGTGCAGCTTCAGCCACAGAGGAGAGCAGAGAACATGGGAGAGGAGAGGGGAGGAAAGAGGAGAGAGGAGAGAGGGGAGGGGGGGAGAAGAGCTGAGTAAACACTTCTTCAGTCAAACGGCCCATGTAGACGTCCCCTAATCTGAAGGGAGGGGAGAGGAGGAGAGGGGCAGAGAGAGGAGACGAGAGGGGAGACGAGCAGATAGAAGGGGAGGAGGAGAGACAGGAAATGAGGAGAGGGGCAGAGAGAAGAGATGAGAGAGAGGAGAGAGAGAAGAGAGGCAGAAAGGGGAGAGAGAGGAGAGGAGAGACGAGTAGAGAGAGGAGAAGAGAGGAGACGGACAGAGAGACGAGCAGAGAGAGGAAAGAGAGAAGACGAGAGAGGAGCAGAGAGAGGAGCAGAGATAGGAGAGAGAGGAAAGAGAGGAGAGCCGAGCAGAGAGAGGAGAGAGGAGATTCGAGAAAAGAGGGGCAGAGAGAGGAGAGAGAAAAGAGGGGCAGAGAGGAGAGAGCGGCAGAAAGAGGAGAGAAGGGAGAGGGGCAGCAGAGAGGAGCCTTGATTGACAACCACAGTGGTGAGCAGTGGAGGGAAACTAGGATATAACGCGCGGGGGAAGTTATACTAATATATGGAAGACTGTAATTGGAAAAGATATACAAAGAATTATATAAATTTAGAATGTAGCTAAATGAGACTGAAGGAGAAGCATTTTTCTCCAACGCTCTATTTGAAGTAGATGTTTTATATTTTTAGCTGATCGCTCTCCCTGTGAACCCCCGACAGATACTCAGACACCTTTCAAATGAGTTCTGACCATGCAGCATGAGACTATGGGCCTCATACCCTCTGGGGCCTCATGGGCCTCTGGTTGGTCTAAAACTGCAGTGTTTAGACCAACCAGATCGTAAAACTTTAGTGATCTAGATGTAATGAACAGGCAAGAAGTGTGTGCAGAATAATCAGCTTAGTGTACGATTCTGATGAGTGCGAAAATTGAGTTGGTGTTTGAATTGTAATTACTACCTCATATTTCAATACAATAATTGAGATATTGAGATATTGAGAAAGTCTTAGTGCATTGTGATTTACAGAATTTTAGATTTTATACCAATACTTTTTGAGATTTTTGTCTTGAGTGCAGCTTATAATTTAATTCATGATCTATGTTGACTCCCAAGAAGTCAGTAGAATACACCCTTTTTATTTCCACATCAGAGATTTTTCAGGGGCATGGTGTGTAAATATTTCTATGTTCAAAGATTGTGTATTTAGTTTTATTCGAATGTATGAATAATTTTTTGTTCCAAACTAGCCTGGCCTTAGCCATCTGTAAACTCTGGTCAATTATTATTCCCCTAAATATACGTTTGGGTCTGATCCTTATGGCTGTGGTTACCCCTGCGGTTGTTATCTGACCAATCAGCGAGCGGGGGAGGCGGGTGTTGTAGGTAGAAAATCAAAATATTGATATTTAAGCATTTACAGCAAGCTAAGAAACATGGCAGGTGCTTATATTGTACTTAGTGTGTGCTCCCTGTGGCTCTCTTTTGGGTCACAGAGACTCATCCCAAAGATAGCTCAAGAGTTATATGGAGAAATAGCATCACTCTCTCTTTAGGAAGGTTTCAAAGTGGAGTCTATGAATTTGTTATTGCTTTTCCTGAATGTTCCACAGTGTGGCAGTGTCACAACTACAAAAACACAAGAAGAAAATGTACAAAACAATAGAATGAAATCTCAATTAAAAGGACATTAAATCCTGAATGGGCCTCGGCAGCTCCCAGTGTGAACAGTGTGTGGGGAAGAGCTCAACCAGGCAAAGTTGAGAATAGGTTTACACTAATATGTGTATAAACATATTAGGTATGGTTTGGTTTGGTATGTTTTCTATTTCTATTTGCACAATAAACATTAGCCAAAAGGAGAGATGCATTGTGGTTGTAGCAGCAGTGCTAATTTACACCTGTAGTCCCTGAGCAGGTTGCTGTAAAACAGTAAAATAAAAGTAATTCACATTAGTGTTATTATGTGTATGAAAAATATTAGTTTATTTTGTTTGAATGTGGTTGTTTTTACTTTTATGTTTTTTTTCTCGTTCAACACTTATTTGTATTGAACAGCTGCAGTTTGTGATATAATGATGGAGAGTCCGCCAGAAACAGCACAACTGATTTTCAACCATTACTTCACCACATTAGATAATAATTACGAAATAAAAAGCTAAACATGACATCTGAATCCTTTACATGTTTTAATTATTAAAATTGGTCTATTGAAACACAATAGATTATGACAACAAAGTGTACAAATGAAATACAAATCTCTTCTAGTGTCGTCCGTCACTTGTTCTGGAAGATCCATTTAGAAAAGGCAACAAAAACAGTTTAATGAGCAACAAACTTCACAACAGACAGTCAGAACATTCAGTTTCACATGTTTTCTCGACGTCTTCACATTTGAAACTTTTGCTCTTGTGCTTCCGGACAAAACAGAACGAAAAGCAGAAAGCCGTTCACAGCTTCTCGCAGTTTGTAAACTTGTCTTTCAGGAAAAAATCGTCGTCCGACTCTTTGAATTGAAGCGAATCCGTGGGAAGAGTTCGGCAAAAATAGTTGCATTTCTGGCGTCCTTAAACCGATGCGACGACTCGGACGCGTTTCCGCCTGTATCCTTCTTCAGCCACTGTGCGCGGCCAAAATGATAGAATAAATACGCAACTTTCAACACCAGAAAAGTCCAAAATACATACTACAATATAAGTGCGATTTTTCCACTCACGGTTGAAAAATTGTCATGCTTTAAAAGGGGCGCAACGCAGAACCCACTGGTCCTGAAAAGCACAGTTCAACCTGAGAAGCCACGCAGTCGTTAGAAAGACCAGAAATTGTTAAATAAATGTGTGCAGGCTGACGCGACGTGTCCTTGTACACCTTCACTTGGAGAGTTGTCTAAAAGAAACGAGGGTATTAGGTAGTACGAAATGATAGAATAAGGTTTGTTTCCGAGATTAAGATCCCAACGGGTTTTACAAAATACATTCAAGTCAATTCATCCTCCTTGTTTTGTGCCTGTTAGTTATTTTTTCCAGGTTGTGATGATAACGACATGTGAGCTTCAGGGATATGTGGGAGAGAATGTTCTTCGTCGGCAGCTTTCAACTACCAGTCGTGCGAGAGACAGAAGTTAGTTTGGTGTGAAATCCAATTAAAATAAGTACAAATATAAATCAGGCATGTCAAACTCAGAGATTTTAGTGGTTTTCAATTATTATTAACTGCATTTTTTACTTGTATGTAAGGCGGCCTTGAGTGTCCAGAAAGGCCAATAAAAATTAAAGTCATTATCATTATTATTTTTATTATTACTAACTTGCAGCACTGGTGGTAATGGACTGCTATGGCATGTTATACCTAAATGTAAAGCTAATTTTATCAAGGAGAAAACCGTGTAACCTTTTTCACCCAGAGAGCTACTTTCCCCGGGATGATAAATTCCTTTAAGCGGCCCTGGGGAAAGATTTGTGATGTATCGGGGTGAACGATGTTATTGCATTTTTTGTTACTAGTGCACAAAGTAAGTGAATTTACAAAAATAAACATTGACAATGAATAATGAAATCTGAAATATTAAGTATATAATAGGATTTGTTCAATTCTAAATCTTTTGGCGAGCTACTGGTGGCTCCCGAGCTGCAGGTTGGAGACCCCTGATGTAATGTATGCTTCAATTTTAACCCAACGCCGTCTAAAATTACATTTCTTATAGATACACATTTGGTCCAGTTTTGCTTGTATCCATATTGATACTAAACTCATAATGTTCAAGGACAATCTACCAAAAGGAATATCCAAACTCATGTCCAAAGTAATTGGTTGTTATGAAAGAGATATTCCCACTTACTCCAGGTCAGGTGAAAGAGGCCCAAAATAGATTTCATATGCCCCGTTATGGCGTCAATTCATCAAGGAAATAATAAAGCAATTAGTCAAAATACCTTCAGAAAGTAAAAAAAATAATAATAATAAAATAAAACCACTATTATTCTAACAATTATGAGTTTGACATCCCTGACTTAAATGTTATGTATGGAGATAAATAATTCTTTTTCTCAATTCCTGAAGTCCAAAGTGTGTCTCGCTCAGTATCTGAAAGTGACAATACTTCTTTTGATGTTTAAATATAATCTTAATTTATCTTTTGTACTCAAACTAGCATTTAACAACTAACATTTATTTTCCCATTTTACACTTGGCTTGTTTTTCATCCCTTGCCACCAGTTGAGCTGTTATAAAGCAGATTCCCACATATTCTGATATGCTTTCCAACTTCAATTTCAATTTCCTGTTGTGAGTTTGATTGCCAACAAGAGTGTAATCTTTTTCAGTGCAAACATCAGAATAAAACACACATATGAACCACTCGAAATCAATAGGCATCAAATAACAAACAATTAATTAGTCAAGATCTTAATGGGACAGTATGTCATTGGCTCTGATTGGTCAATAACAATCAAACTTCTGTTGCCAGAATAGTCGTGCCTGTGACAAATGTGACTCCTAAGCACTGATTTATGGTGGGACTCTGTTTATTGACAACTTGAAACTATTTTTGTAAGTGCTTTCATGTAATCAAATGTGTGGTGCTATTCTTATGTTTTCATCTAACAAACTGGCAACCCAAATGAGAGCTTCATAATCTGCTTGGTCACTGTAAACATAAACATTAGGACCGTCATGTTTATTGTATTTTTAATTATGAACAACTCCAGTTTAAACTTTTGTTCAGAAAAATATGATTTGTACTTCTTAAAATTGTCTGGTATGGATAAATAATGTTACATACTACCCCTTTAAATTCTAAACTTTCTTATCCTCACAGGGAAACAGTTTTTTTTTTTTTTTGAATGCTTTGAAAACCAATGCTTCAGTGTGTGTAATTATCACTCAGAGTTACCAAGTTTCTTTTGATTCCATCATTGTCCATTGTCGGCGAGGAACACATCCTCCTTGAACAAACTGACACCTCAGAGAGTATTCAGATGAAGAGCTGTCATCAACGTGAAACAGCCTCTAAACCTGTTGGAAATAATAACTGTGTGTTTGAACTCTCCCACCACTTTCCCCGTGTTCTTGTGTTCTTGGTTGAACCCCGCTTCAAGGTCACGTCTGTGTGCGTCTGATTGCGCTCAGGCCCAAACCACGGCCTGAGACGGCGGTCCGTGTAACGGCTCAGAGAGGTGGCGCCCCCTTGTGTCCCTACTCCAGTGTGTCTGTGTGCTCTCGTCTGTCGTCTCGCACGGACAGCATGTGGCGCTCGTCCATGGTCAGCTCGTCCTCGTCCTCGTCCAGGCCCTCCTCCATGTCCTCTTCCTCCTCCTCCTCCTCCTCGTCCTCCTCCGTGCCGTCCATGGAGTCGTTGTCTGCGGCGAGCATGGCCTGCTGCATGGCGAGCGTGGCCGAGTCCGAGGACAGGGACTGCAGGTTGTCCATGTTCAGGGGGTCTGCGGGGGGAGAAGGGGGAGATGGGGGTCAGTGTGCAGTGAGAGCACTCCAGGGAACAAGGAACGAGGAATTTGACGCTGTCATTTTAAACTGGACCGGAAAGTAAGAATACTTTATGGTTATGGTTTGTGGAGAGTCATTTTTAACATCACTCTAAAGGAAAGTTTATTTTTATTGCACAAATCAACATAAATAATCACATTACATTTATGTTGGAAATTATTTTCCAATAAATCTTGAATTTGAAACTAAGTAAAAGCATAATTAAAGAATGATTAAATTAAGGAAACTGATAACGTTTTATTTAACAGTATATCAAGATATTCAACACTTCAATTATACAAATTCCTAAAATACTAATAATGACTGTGTTTATTATGTTACATAATTAACATGATTAAGTACATCAGAAGTCTTTAGAAGTACTTCTACCGTTGTGCAAAATCAGTATGTAATAAATTGTAACTCAAAAGTTTCACTTTCTTATATTCATACTTCACTGCCTGCACATCATTTTTTTAGTGCAGGATTCAACATATGTGACATAATTCAGCTCAGTCCAATTCAGAGCATTAATGGCATTCAGGGAGTGTTCTCCAACATTATCATTGTGTCAGTGGCATGAAGTAGTTTAAAAAATATGATTAATTATCTATCTTTTAAATGTTTTGAATGATGTATCGTCTATTATTTGATATTTTAATCTTGTTCATCTCATTTCATAGATATCTTATGCTTCTTTGATAGAATGCCAAAGTGTCAGTAAGAAGTAGAACTAGATGAAACAGTGCCATCCAGTGGTTGACTTGTGAACATACAGGCTATGACTGGAGTCAATTATGCCCTGGAAGTCCTGGAATAATCAACTCACGGTCGGAGTTGTTCCCCACGTTGGATCTGTGCGTCTGCAGGACCCCGGCCACGATAGAGTCGGGCCAGAAGCGCTGAGTGGGACGGTGTTGGGACTTCATCTTCTTGGCTTTGGGGACAGGGTCTGGATTAGAGGCGTCCAACATGGGCTGCAGAATACGCCGGCGGGCATTGATGAACCTGAGATGTGAGGAAAAGCAGCAGGAGAATCAAAGAGTTAGTGAAGGTAACTTCAGGTTCAGTCTTTTAGAAGTATTGAGAGAAATTGTAAATGTATTCATCTCATTTCTCTTTTAGAATAGAGGAAATAATTGCAGGAATCAGATATTATGGAGCAGGATGTGTTTTTTGATAAAATCCCACGAGCACTGATAAGTGTACAGGAAATGTAAACTAAAGTGTAAGCAATTAAGTACAGCAATTTATAGTTTGTATATTAAGTACATTTGACAGAGATACATGTTACAGCAAAGTACATCAGTGTGAAATACTATTCTTGCACTTGGGTATATGGGTTGTTAAAAAGCAGGCTGTAACTACTTATTTCATAGCCACTTTGTTTGCTTTTCTTTCATTGCTTTATGATGATAATTATATATCTGTACACAAGGATGAATAAACAAAACTGTCACTAAAAATAAATATATAAATAATAAGTGGAACACTGCATCAAAATACACTGAAATATGATCCTGGACTGTAATATAAATGTACTTTATTTTGCCAATTGCGTCTAAATGTTTGTATCAGTAGTGAATGCACACAGTAAAACCTCTCTAGGCCCCATAAACTTCACATATTCCTTGTACTGAGCAGCGTTCACCAGAAGATGGCAGTACTGTGCAGAGGGGAAATAGACTGCTGTCCAGCTTGTTTCTCAAAGGCAGCATATTTTTCAGACTTGGTAATAATTCATTTCACCACATCCTCTTACCAGTTATTTACTTGCAACAGTGTAAGGTTGGTTTGTGCTGCAATCTGCCTCTTCTCGTCTTCTGTCGGGTACGGGTGCTGGAAGAAAACAAACACAGCGTCACCTATGAACAACTTCAAACAAAAGCCTTTACACACACAAAAATATCACGTATTTTTGTTCATTGGGTTGCAAATCTATTGAGAAATTACAATTCAAAGGGGATAATGTGAGTAGAAACACTGAACAGATAAGACGGATTGGAAAAATTGTGTTTCATATAAGATTCAGATTCAGATTCAGATTCATTTATTTGCCATTTGCAGTAAAACCACATTGGAAAAACTGTGCAAGACTACCCCAGTGCGCACCAGACGACACACACCAGAGCTCTTGCCAAGTAAGCAATTACATATATACTGATGCGAAAATTACATCTATAGTGTCACTGCAGATAAAACAGTAGAATATCTGTGGCAAGATTGTGGTTGTCCTCATAATTACCTAATTTATTCTATTGTAAATTGTTAAATTGAATGTATTTGACCATGAAGCAACTGGCAACTACTGTATGTGCCAGTTTGTACGACCTGACTCAGTAGGTCTTCAGTAGGCCATACAGTCTGATTCTCTGATCTGTTGTTGGTGAATCGACAGCCTTGTAAAGTCCTCTGAGACTCTTGGGATTTCGGGCTATACACAAATACATTGAATTGAATTGAATAGGTGGATAGTAAATTACCATGAGATGTTGAAATAACCAGGACCTCATGATGTTGGTGGCGTGTTTGGGCAGAACTCCCCTCTTATTCTTACACTTCTTGTCTTCACTGTCCAACAGAGAAACCAAATCTACGTTGACCTGAAAAGAAAAAGAGAAAAGAGGAAGATGGTGTTAAAAAGAAAAGAGAAAATTATCAGGCCAAGAACAACAAAAGCGGATCGCAGGCCTGGCTTAGTTATTGTTGCCAGGGAAACAAAGGGGGACTACCAATTACCTCTCTGTCTTTTTTTCCTCCCCATTGCAAGGGCAGCAACACCTCCTCAAGTGTCACCATGGAAACAGAATTTAAGTAATGACACTTAAAATATCAGGGAAACCGCACCCCGGGGCCGCAGTGATGACTGGAGGGTTGGGCGCCTTTTTTTTTTTTTTTCGTTTCAACGCTTTGAGAAGTGTTTCCGAGTATCAGTACCAAACTTTGAAAAGACAGAGCGGTGCAAAAGGGACTCGCGGGCGGCCTCACGCTGAGAGGAATGAGTGAGATTTGATTTGCGAGTGGAGTGGGAGCGTGAGAGGACACGTCACGGTGGCTATTGACAGTTGGGAGCAGGCGGCGCTTCCATATGGGGCCGTGTTTGTGATGAGCAAGACAGACATTCATTGTGATGGCAGTGTCGGCGGACTCATAAACAATACTTTGCCGAGGAATAATAGCCCTGGTGGTGTGCCAGAGCAGCGCCTGTGTGGGGAATGGGGTTTCTATAGACGCAACGCTGTCAATGTATGTGTTTTTTTAATCAAAGGAGGCGGAAATGAAGGAGTCGCTCACAGACACGCGTCTCGATATAAACAACAATAAGTACAAGATTGATTGATTGATTTTATTCATTTGAGCAGAAATGTTACAGTATTTACAATATTTACATTCATTAGTTTACATGACTTTTTTTTATACATGTTCCCTTCTGTGCTTACAGTATATATTTATAAATGCAAATATATGAACATAACTGTACAATCAAGCAACACAAATCTCCCTAGTTTCACCATGTATTCACGAATAAATTTCTATTGACAATTTGTCAGCTCAAAATGGAGTGGGAAGAAAGAAAAAACGTGTAGACTCCCACCCCATAAACATAATTCAAAAACATGCAAGAATTTTGTTGTTAGCAGTGAATCAATAATACCTTTATAATAATTGTGGTCCACTGACAGCGAGAACATTTATTAACATTATAGGACAGAGGTCATTCTGCTTCCAATGGACCAAATTGAATTGAATTGAAATTGAGATGAAATAAATCAAATTGATACGGCGCAGTAAGAATGAAAGGCTTTTGGACCCTTATCCAAACCCTAAACAATCGTCATTGATGAATTTTTTTCTATTTTTTTTCAATGTGGAATTATATTTTGGTTGAGGGAATATTTTAAGTTAAAAAAACGGAATAAAATGTGTTAAAAATTATACGTGTCTCAAAGTGTCTGAATTGAAGACAAGGCTAAGAATGGAGGATACATGAAAAGAGCTACAGCTTTGGTTTAATTCATCATTTATGGCAGAGTGAGCGGCAGATTAGCCGACATGTGAACTGGTTGCAACTGAACGATTCTTGTAGATGTCTGTGCTCTATAATCAAACTGGACCTCACATATGTACGTACACCTGGAACGACTCTTCACTAATCAAGAAATAATGCATTTTTATGTGAGCCTAAGCCTGAGTCAAGTCACAGCGGGCACAATTTGTACTTTGGCTGTGGACATTTCAAGGACTCGTGCACGCTTATAATGAGAATAATAACAGAAATGCACAACACAAAGTTATGCATAATGTATAAATATAGCAAGTATAGTTTTCCAATTGTGACATGAATGCTAAATATAATCACATTTTCACTCACAATTCTGTATATGTTTCAATTGAGGCGCTCTTAATGACTTTGTTAGACTAAGGAAGAAAAACTAACAAGCATCTCCATCGAGAATGTACAGCAGAATATGAATGAATGCACAAAATCGGTGATTGGAGGCAGTGCGTAGTATTGTGCCTTTGTCAATTGTATAAGGAAATGCTTAATGTAAACGTAGCAACACAACCTCAACATATGTATGCGTGGAGAGAGTGGGAAACCCCCTATGCCCCCCGCACAGAACTGCATTCATTACAGTTGCAGCTGGGCGTCACGTGGAGGGGGCTCTCTTTCTCTCGCTGGCCCCCGCAGCCTGGTGAGCGTGCACGTGAGGTCTGGGAGCATGCACGTGGGGAGGACTAGAATTAATTGGTGGCCTATGAGCTCCGGAGCGCGATTACTCGGGGCTTGTCTGCAAAGTAGCGCTGGGGCTGCGTCCAATTCCCATCCCCTGTGTAGAGCGGTGCCCCGGCTGCACTTGCAGATTCAGACCAGCTTTTTTTCTCCGACAGAGGAGCAGCTAGTCTCTGAACGGATCCCAGTGCAGCGGCTAAAAGATTCTGGCTTCGAGTCAGGAGCTTTTATCATATCTTGAGTCAAGCTTATAGGGAAGGTGAAGATAGTGCTCTAGAGACGGTGAGGACACTGAGCTTTTACAAAAATAACACTGCTAATAGACCCCTTCAGCAAATGCACCTTGAAAGTTATATGGGTGAAAGTACTTACAGAAGTTCAAATTGTTGTTGGTTACTCAGCTGATTTAATCACTCACAATGGAATGAGCTAAATCCAATTGAAGATATGTGGAAAGACCTGAAAACTGCTCTTCACAAACACTCTACTGTACATCTAATCTGATAGTTTTGTCATCTAAGCTTGTAGTCATTACCCAACATACAAGAGTGTTCATCAAAGTACTAGCTCATGTTGTCTTAGTTAGTACTGTTGCAAACCGCTGCATATGGGCGTGTGTTCGAATCACGCTCCTGAATTAACCTATATGCTTCTGTTTACAAATGTATATCAATACATAGGACAAAGGAAAGGACATACAGTGGTCCAATGTGGTATTCTGCACAATAAACATCTTTAAAACAATATTTAACTGTGTTTTATGAAAGAAACTATACAACAGTAGGAGTGCTCTCTACATTTAACAGAAATAAAGCATGTGGAAGTAGATATAGTAGTTACAGTGCCTTGCGAAAGTATTCGGCCCCCTTGAACCTTTCAACATTTCACCACATTTCAAGCTTCAAACATAAAGATATAAAAATTCAATTTTTTGTCAAGAATCAACAACAAGTTAGACACAATCGTGAAGTGGAACAAAATTTATTGGATAATTTAAACTTTTTTAACAAATAAAAAACTGAAAAGTGGGGCGTGCAATATTATTCGGCCCCCTTGCACTAATACTTTGTAGCGCCACCTTTTGCTGCAATTACAGCTGCAAATCGCTTGGGGTATGTCTCTATCAGTTTTGAATTCTTGCCCATTCTTCCTTGCAAAACAGCTCGAGCTCAGTGAGGTTGGATGGTGAGCGTTTGTGAACAGCAGTCTTCAGCTCTTCCCACAGATTCTCGATTGGATTCAGGTCTGGACTTTGACTTGGCCATTCTAACACCTGGATACGTCTATTTGTGAACCATTCCATTGTAGATTTGGCTTTATGTTTTGGATCATTGTCCTGTTGGAAGATAAATCTCCGTCCCAGTCTCAGGTCTTTTGCAGACTCCAACAGGTTTTCTTCCAGAATGGTCCTGTATTTGGCTCCATCCATCGTCCCATCAATTTTAGCCATCTTCCCTGTCCCTGCTGAAGAAAAGCAGGCCCAAACCATGATGCTGCCACCACCATGTTTGACAGTGGGGATGGTGTGTTCAGGGTGATGAGCTGTGTTGCTTTTACGCCAAACATATCATTTTGCATTGTGGCCAAAAAGTTCGATTTTGGTTTCATCTGACCAGAGCACCTTCTTCCACATGTTTGGTGTGTCTCCCAGGTGGCTTGTGGCAAACTTTAAACAAGACTTTTTATGGATATCTTTGAGAAATGGCTTTCTTCTTGCCACTCTTCCATAAAGGCCAGATTTGTGCAGTGCACGACTGATTGTTGTCCTATGGACAGACTCTCCCACCTCAGCTGTAGTTATCTGCAGTTCATCCAGAGTGATCATGGGCCTCTTGGCTGCATCTCTGATCAGTCTTCTCCTTGTTTGAGATGAAAGTTTGGAGGGACGGCCGGGTCTTGGTAGATTTGCAGTGGTCTGATACTCCTTCCATTTCAATATAATTGCTTGCACAGCGCTCCTTGAGATGTTTAAAGCCTGGGAAATCTTTTTGTATCCAAATCCGGCTTTAAACTTCTCCACAACAGTATCTCGGATCTGCCTGGTGTGTTCCTTTGTCTTCACGGTTCTCTGCGCTTTAAACAGAACCCTGAGACTATCAAAGAGCAGGTGCATTTATACGAAGACTTGATTACACACAGGTGCATTCTATTTATCATCATCAGTCATTTAGGACAACATTGGATCATTCAAAGATCCTCACTGAACTTCTGGAGTGAGTTTGCTGCACTGAAAGTACTGTAAAGGGGCCGAATAATATTGCACGCCCCACTTTTCAGTTTTTTATTTCTTAAAAAAGTTCAAATTATCCAATAAATTTCGTTCCACTTCACGATTGTGTCCGACTTGTTGTTGATTCATGACAAAAAATTTAAATTTTATATCTTTATGTTTGAAGCCTGAAATGTGGCGAAATGTTGAAAGCTTCCAGGGGGCCGAATACCTTCCTAGTACCTAGTAACTCAAGAAGCTTTTTGAGTTATTCTTATTCTTTATGAATACAATTTAATTGCTAAGAATATGGTCCATGGATAAAAAGAAAATCACACAGTGATGGTTGGTGCAAGCATTGTGTAAGTTATAATATTGATAAAATATCAACAAAGGGAACGTTGCTAAAATATCCACGGCTGGTAGTGTCATTGTGTAATCAACAACATGTCACGTGACAAAACAAAATAAAACCAAAACACAGAACTGCAAAAAATAAGGATTTCAAACATGTAATACAAAACAAAAACAAGAAGAAAAGCTACCAAAGTTACAAAACAGGGCTCGAGGACAAGAACTAAAACTGACGTGGGAATGTCAATGACGGAATAAGGAGTAAATGACCACACAGGGTTTAGATACACTTACGACGATCGACA